ACCCTGCTGGCTATTAACCGATAGGTCATAGGCAGCTGGTTCACCCAGAGTGGGGGATATGTGAAACACATTTGAAACTGATGACTCAGCCAACATGTTGGGAAATAAGCTTCTTTTATTTTCCTCACACTCCCTCCCAAACCGTCAAGGCCGCTCTGTTTCCTCGGCGGCTCTCATGGAGCAGACGCCGAACGGGAGTACCTCACTCCCTTTTTACCCCCCCTCTCCTGGTGGGGGGGCGGAGGCGCGGGACGGTGCCCCTGCCGCCGCTGACGGACGAGTCTGACGCCTCGGCTGCGGTTGCTGCGAGTGTCTCTCTGCCTGCCGCTGTGGCCGGGTTGGCCTGCTCCGCTGCCGCCTCGCTCCACCAGCGTAACCACCGAGTTGGCCAGCAACGCGATGTTGTTTGCCGCCGCAGACGCCTGAAACGCACATTGGTGCGCCCGGTCAGCCTGGCGGGCGACATACAGGTCCCTGGGGGAGGCCAACATAGGGCGCCGTCCGGCGATCAAGTTGGCCTGCCTAACCCCACAGAACGCCGTCAAGCTCGGCTCCAGAGCGGGGGTGGTTGGAAAACCCTCCTCTGTGAATCCCTCCACCTTAGTGAAGGGAACAAAGGTGGCCACCGGAGCCCTCAGGGTCCCGGCCATGTCGTCCAGAGCCACCCTCTCCCGTCCTAGGGGAACGGGGAGACCTCTGCATGCTGCTGCTTTGCCGATGATTTCCGGCAGCTCCAGCATAATGCCACCCAACGCCGGTAGCGCCGTGGCCACGGAGAAGGGGACCGCGTGCTCGGCCGCCACACCCGTACCTCGCTCCGACCCCGTCTCCCCCGTCCGGGGAAGAGGGGGGAGGGGAGAGCCGCATGGCGAGCCATGGAGGGAGACGGGGTAGGACTCGTCCGACTCCTGCCCCGCACTCGCCTCCAGAGACAGGCTGTCGTCCTTCTGGACGGCCCAGTCGTCCTCCTCAGCCGCAGCAGCTAGAGCGTCCGCCCTTCGCTTCCTGTCGGATGATGGGAGACGAACACAATGTGAACATGCGACCTGCTGGCTGAGAGCCGCGTCCGTGTGCTCTGGCCCCAGGCAGGATTCGCATATTGGGTGCAAATCATAGCTCATGATGTATCCCGTTTTGCACGAGGGACACACGCGGACACTATCATTGCTCATGATTCGATCTTCTTGTGCTTCAGTACTGCTGGTTGCTGAAGAAAAGAGGGAGCAGATTGCCGGGCACCCTTCCTATTTATACCGGAAGGAGGCCCGAGGGTGGGGCCCACCTGGCGGGTGGGCGTGGACTACAAGTGTTTCAGTGCTGCGCGGGGGCGCAGAGGGATAACCCAATAGCGATAGCCTTAGAGGGCGAAGCCATATACAAAATAGAACAGGTGAAAGCCGGGGTGTGAACTGTCCTTAACAATGTTTTTGGCTCTACTGAGGCAGCGGGAGGTGTAAACGTCCATCAGAGAGGGGAGAGGGCAGCCGATGATCCTCTGTGCTGCTTTTACGACTCTCTGGAGACTCATCCTGTCGGCCTCAGTGCAGCTGGCGTACCACACTGTGATGCAGTATGTTAATAGGCTCTCGATGGTAGAGCGGTAGAAGGTCACCAGCAGCTTAGTGGCCAAGTTGTTCTTCCTGAGCACCCTCAGGAAGTGCAGACCAGTGGTGGATTTAGGATTGTTGGAGATCCGGGGCTTAGCCCAGGAGTTGTTGGGGGGGGGGGTGCAGGGGTAAAGTGCTATTTTTTTACAAGTGGGGGGTGGACCGAACATCCTTTAGGGGGGTCGTCGCCTCCTCTAGGGGGGTCCGGGGGCATGCTCCCCCGGGAAGATTTTTTTTTAAATATTGAAGTTAAAAGCATCAATCTGGTGCACTTTGAGAGCAACATTAACCCTACCTTAATAATACCTTAAAGGGGACATATCATGCTATATTTGAACAATATATTGTAGGGCCATACCTATATAAAGTATATAAATAGTTTTTTTTTCAAAATACCAAACAGATCCTGCATTTTAGCCATGCCTCATTTCGCTCTATTTGCTCTTTCCAGCCCTGTTTTTGCAGGGGGCTGATTCTGTGAGCTGCAGCTGACCACGCCCCCCTGCAGGAGAGGGGAGCGTGCTTTGAGATCAGCTGCTGGGCTGCAGCGGGGAGAAGAGGAGGAGAAAAAGAGATCTCCGTCCTCCGTGTTTTATTCTTATATGATTATATAGAGTCATTATTCATTTGTTTTAAAGCTCAATAAATAACAAAGAAGACCTTTGACCGGCACTTTTCTAATTTTGTCCGGAAGATTTAAACTTTAACGGTGAAAAAAAATCTAACTGAAACTCTGCCGCACGGTCCCCTCGTTCCTTGGAAGAGGCGGAGAGGTGGGTGTTTGTCATCTGCTGGTGGACTAACCGGAGAGAATTACAGCGAGGGAGGGATTGCATTGAATTACAGCAGCGGGAGCAAACGCTTGCCTCGGGGAGGGAGAAAAAGAGCCACAGCGGAGAATAAACAGAAGGGCAACCATAGCAACCATGCGCGGGAAGTCTTCTTCGCTGCTTTTGTGGCAGACTACAGCGCCACTTACAGGCCTGGCATATGTACTACAGCGTCTCCAGCGCTTTCGAGCGGCAATGGCCGGCCGTGGCCCAACCCCACATTCCCCTGATAGGTGGAGAATTGACCACTAAGCGGAGCACCACTTTTGTGACGTAGAAAATAATTCAAATCTGGATCAGTCTGTATCAGATCCGTTGCAGCCCCATTTTTAGAGATTTGGGTATGGAGGAAAAGAGAGAGGGTTGTGTTTTCTGACACTTGGTGAGTTCCCTGGAACACCGGGGACACATATTCATGTATAAAAGACGTACAAAAGTGCATTTTGCATGATAGGTCCCCTTTAAAGCGGACAAAAGGCACTGGAGAACACTTATTCATTAACACCCTTTAATGAAGCAAACTAATGCCTTAACTCACTCAAATACATTCGTTTACTTATTTCGGTGAAACGAATGTGCGTAGAGTTTTAAAGGATGCGGATAGTCTCACCTTGATTCTGGCGCATTGCTTATCGTTTTATAGATCTATTCTCATCCACCATCTTTGTTTGTGACGTAAAGAGTGTAAGAGTCACGTTTTCTGACTGTTGCCTGTCAGTTCCGTTGCTATGGTTCCGTTGTTATGTGTACTGAAACCAGAGCCGGTATAATTCCACGCGCGAAAACAAAATAAAAATTGGAATACGTTATTTTAGTGTCTTAAAAGTAGACTGAGGTATGAAGGGTTAACGTTACATCTTAGAATAATTTGTAGTCATGTTCTGTATACATACTAACATATAAGGGTATTGACTTAGTGTGGTTTATCTTTTTGTCGCTGCTTTTATTTGAAACTGAGCTGTTGTGTTCATCAGTAAAGTGGAACTTCTGTGTGAACTATTCATATCTTAAACTGCACTGTAACTTTTTATTCATGTACTTTTTATTCATGTATTTTTTCTTTTAATGTTTCTTTTACTGTTTTGAAATGCCTTTGTCTGAATGTCTTTCATTTTTGTAAAGCACCTTGAATTGCCTTGTGTTGAAAGGTGCTATATAAATAAACTTGCCTTGCCTTGGTTACTCCATGTTTACTAGCTATAAGATTAACGTTACAGTACATCACTCTTTTTCACTTCTTACTCAGTCAGCCAGAGTGCAGATATCACCATTAGATTCACAAACCTGAAACATCATCCATTTCTTCACTGCTGGTGATGACATTGTTGTTAGCTGCTGATACTGCTGCTGCTGCAGCTTGTGGCGCCTGCTTCGATGAAAATAACTTTCTAATATCCATAACTTTATAGGCTATTAGCTTAAAACTCGTCAGGCACTAGGAAGGATCACTTCTTCTTCAGGGCAGGGAAGGCTACGCAGTACGCAGGCTAATGTCCCGCAGCGGCTGCCTCTCTGGTGGACCCCGGTACTGCACATTACTCCCGAGACATTTACAAAAACAAAAAAAAACTTTTTAAAAAAGATTTTTTTAAGTGAAACATCCGGGGCTTTTCAGAAAACATCCGGGGCTTGAGACCAAGTAGCCACCCCCTAGCGCCGCCACTGGTGCAGACGCTGCTGGGCCTTCTTGATGACAGCTGTGGTGTTGTCCTTCCAGGAAAGGTTGTTGGTGATGAGGACGCCGAGGAACTTGAAGGTGTGGACCCTCTCCACACACTCGCCGTTAATGTCGAGGGGAGCGAGGTCGGTAGTATTCCTCCTGAAGTCTACGATGATCTCTTTGGTTTTTGTGGGGTTCAGTGCCAGGAACCTATATGTTCATAGTGTATGTGCTTAACTGTATTAAATTAAATGGAGTATTTATGTTAGCTCCGCTTTAATTTCTTTGTTTAAACTTTAGTATGTGCTCATGTCAGTGGCGAGCCGTGATTTTTATACCTAGGCCCTCTGACCCCCACCCCTTCCCTCGACAAAAAAATAAAAAATAGTTATTACGTCACAGCGTATACTTCAGCGGAATATCAAAACAACGGCCCGGGGTGCAAAACGTATCAATAGGCGCATTCACACCGCAGTACTTTTCCCACAAAGGTTCATGAGAACTTAGTTCATGAGAACTCTTTTGTCGCGTTCACACCAAAAAGAGCCGGTACTAAAAATTAGTTCATGAGAAACTTTTTACCCCCACGAAAGTCCCTGCTACTCATTCACACCAACGCAACTCCAGTTCAAGCTCCGTGCTAGAGCTTTTCAGGTTCAGAACCGGTTCTTCGGTTTAGCGGAAGCTCTTTTCACACTGCCCAGAGTCCGACTGGTGCTGCGTCATTGCGTCATCGTTTGCGTCATGACGTAACCGTTTGCGTGCCTGCTTCATAAAGCTAAACCGCGCGGAAAACCCTCACAGCTGACACCGACAACAACAACAATGGCCGATTGTGTTGAAGCGCTACTCGTTTTGGTTTTGCTCTGTCGAAACGAAATGGAAGTAATGGGACGACTTTACTACCAACTTTACAGTCGTTACATGCTAAATTAAAAACTGCTTTACAATCCTAAACATCAACGACGATTCAGATTCCGTAGGAGAAAGAAGGTAAATATATGTCCTATTCGATGTTAGAGTTAGCTGTTGTTAGCCTCTGCATGCGCCAAGCTCAAACTACCCAGCTTTGCTAAATTAATTACTATGGTATAACATTAAAATTGATTATCAATGTTATTTCCACAGATCATGTTGAAGCTGGCGGAAAGGCGGAGGTCGCGTGTTATTTGGACACAGCCCAGATCTTCCGACTGGTGGAACACCATTGTTCCAGACTTCTCCCCTCTGCAATTCATGCAGAATTTCCGCGTGTCCAGGCAGTCCTTTGACTATATCTGCAACCAGGTCAGCGGCGTTATGGGGAGAAGAGACACAAATTACCGTCTGTGTATACCCAATAAAAAAACGGGTTGCAATTGCCCTCTGGAAGCTGGCCACCGGAGGTGAATACAGGACCATCAGCCATCTTTTCGGAGTAGGCCAAAGCACCGTTTGCCTCTGTGTTCAGGATTTCTGCAGGGCAACCATGGAAGTGCTGCTTCCACTACATATCACATTTCCTGATGTGGAGAAATTGGTGGAAATGGCCACTTTTTTCAACAGACGTTGGAGAGCACCACAGTGTGTTGGTGCAATAGATGGAAGCCACATCCCTATTTTAGCACCCCGAGATTATCCCAAGGACTATTATAACAGAAAAGGATGGCATTCTGTTGTTCTACAGGCTGTTGTTGATGGCAGGGGGATGTTCTGGGATGTGTGTGTTGGCGACCCAGGTAGTGTACATGATGCTAGAGTGCTAAAACAATCTAATCTTTGGGTGGCTATCAGTGATGGAGTGTTGCTAGGCCAAAACAAAATGACCATCTCTGGCTGTGATGTGGGACATTACCTGATTGGTGACCCAGCCTATCCAATGCAAAGATGGCTAATGAAACCATTTTCGGACACTGGGAGACTGACCCCTGAACAGCACACCTACAATTACAGACTGAGCAGTGCACGGTCGGTTGTTGAGATGGCGTTTGGAAGGCTAAAAGGAAGATGGAGGTGCCTCCTAAAAAGGAACGACTGCGAGCTGGAGCTCAGCAAAATAATGACAGTGACTTGCTGTGTACTACACAACATATGTGAGGAACATAGCGACAACTTCACTGACGATTGCCATGAACTTGTGTACGACCAACCCGCTTTACACCCCTTACCAGATAATGGTAGACAAGAAGGAGCTGATGTTAGATCCGCATTGATGGACTATTTCAACATGGGGGACCACTAATATTACTGCAGTTAAACCTGATCTATTTTGTATCATGCCTCTTTTTTTTGTACAATAAAATCACTGGATCAGACTTGAAGTGTGTTTATTTTGTATACAAATCACAGCATCTAGATACAAACAGGTATGAACTATATTCTTATAAAAAAAGTGCATACCCAAACGGGTTAGACTATATTCTTAACTCAAATACACAGTGGGCCAAAATAAAAATAAATGGGTACTAGTCGAGGGCCGGACTGGTTCAATGTTTACTCAATCTTATTACCCTTTATCAAAATAGTATATCTTTACTAAAAACTATATTAATTAATTTGACAGGAAATAAAAAGAAAAAGGATCCCTATCAATGTAACTTGTTTATACTGATGCTTCTATACTGTTATCAGAATAAAAAACATCATATTAGCCTGTATTGATGGGGCTCATATATAATGTACAGTATGTCATATCATAAGTGAATGCCCTGTATTTAAATGTGTGTCAATCTGTGAGTGGGCCTTCTCCTAGGAAGACATTGCAAGTATACATTTCAAACATCATTTTATGGGCACTTTAAATGATAAGGATTGCACACATGATTCACATCTGAGTAATATTAAACCTGGAACTAACAAAGCTGAAATTGTTGCCTATAAAAAGATTACACATTAAATCAGTTGCATTCCTTTCTTATGGCTCTATCTGCAGCGTTTCCAGAGTCATTTCTGTGGTTTAGGCTATATTCTTATAAAAAAAAGTGCATACCCAAACGGTTTAGACTATATTCTTAACTCAAATACACATGCCTATCCGTTTTTTCAATAAAATCCATGGATCAGACATGACTTTTGAATTTTGTTTATTGTACAAATCAAAGACATGTATGGACAATAATTCACCAAAAAGTGTGGCGAATATACTATAATAATAATGTGTATTCAAAAAAAGAACGTGTATACAAAAAAGGTATGAACTATTTATATAAAAAAATATGGTCAGCTTTTGTTGTTGGCCTCCATCACCTTCACAAGCCTGTCTACCATGCCAAGCATTGAGTGGCTGTTCTACTCGATTCTGGTGAAAACTCGTAGGAACTCAGCATTGGCCACATGCACCTCCTGAAGCATCGCCTGGCCCTGCTCCTTAAGCAACGCCTGGCCCTGCTCCTGAAGCCTTTCCTCCCTGTCCTCACTTTTCTCCAGATACTCCAGAAGGCCAGATGATAAATCCCGCTTCCATTTAACTACAAAAAGAGAAAAATAAAGTCAACACTGTATTCATGGCATTTTATGAGATGTATATTATATACTGTGTAATGAAATGTTGTATTGTTCTTATGGCTGCAGTTGTATAACTTGAACAACTACTACAATGACTATGCCATGATAAATGCACATGGCAACAGGGAACAGTATTACTATTATGACCACTGTAAACCTTACCCTGTTTGTGTCGGCCCACTGGCTGGATTAGGTTCACCAGAGATTCCTGGGAAGAGCTGCTTGTGGGAAAAGGAGACTCTTGCATCCGCATTGGCGAGCTACACGCCGACGGCATGGTGGTTCCGACACAGTACACTCCAAACCAGATATTTCTGTAAACACAATGAATCATAAATCATTAGTGAGAAGAAAGAAGATACATTGGAGGCGTTAGCTGTCTTTGCCATGGGGAAAAGTGACAGGTGGTGTGACAGGTCACACCTCTCCCTACTTATGTTAATGAGCTAAGTCCCGCCTCCCTTTGTTTGCTGGTGGATGTCCCACCTAGGTGTGAATTCACACATAGGTGTGAGATCCTTTGATGTGAGGGGTGAGGTATCATCACACGTAGGTGTGAAATGCCCCCCCTGTGTAGTGCCTTTGTTAGAGATCCTTTTGTGTCATGTGAAAAGCCCCGGGCTAGCGCCTTTGTTGTCTAATTATTTGATGTGTTGATTAAGTCTCTTTGTGTTGTCTGGCCCCTGTCCCCTCAGAGTTGTATAATCTAATTATGAAGTCTAGTCCTTTGACGGGAGGTGTTATAACAGGCCGGTGTGACTTCACACCGGTGTGTTATAAGCCTCTGATGTTAATTTAGGTGTTGATTAAGTCTCTTTATGCTGTCTGGCCCCTGTCCCCTCAGAGTTGTATAATCTAATTATGAAGTCTAATCTATGAGGTGTTATAAACCTCTGATGTTAATTTAGGTGTCTCTTGAAGTTAGGTGAGACTGTCTACCAGCCCCCTCCTAGCCTCTCCCCCCTTCCGGGCTATGACGCAGGCAGATAGTGGAGGGGTGGAATTAGGTAGAAATATGCGCAAACTAAATAAAAATACAGCAATTCCATTTACCCACTGTTGTGGAAATAATTATCATAAGACGCCAATTAGTAACATACAGGACAAACCTCGATGTCTGTTTACCTTCTTTAAGGACACAGGCGGCTTAGCCAATAATGTTATTGTTCCCATTCTGTGACCGGTCAATACTGGGATACAGATGGTCTGTGTTGTGGGTACACTGGGACACTTCCTTCTCTGTATTTGTGGACTCCAAGGTAAAATCTTCGAGGTCATAAGTGTCCGAGGCAAGTAGCTCTGTGTTCCCACACTGTTTAGGCTATCTCCTCAAATATGTTGTTTACTCTCTGCGAAACCAGTTAGATGGGCTGGCAAGAGAGAGGCTCTCCAGAATTGACGTGGCAACTCTACCGTGAAGTCAGAACCTCTGACTCTTGGACTTGTGATGTGAATACTCCGGCCGTTAACTCCAAATAAACCATCATGTGTTTGACATCAAAGCTACTGCTCTTCCCGTGTCTCCTTCCTGAGTCGGTGACTCCCAGTGCATAGCTACACAGAAGTTTCCTCTACAAATTGGCGTTGTCTCTGGAAGCAGGTAATGGTGTCCATTCTCAGACCAGACCATTAATGTCATTTCATGTAGAGCAGCCATAGCATCTCTGTGACTGCACTCAGCCGGACTGTCAGAACTGGGTGATTCTTAGTGAAGCCGTCCAAGGCCATAGACAGAATGGAACCACGTACCAACAAAAGGGACACAAGGTCATCAATGTCTCTCTTTACCTTCGGCCTAATTGCACAACAAATTAGTGGGAAAAATGTGGAGCACTAATCCATCATGTGAAATGTTGAGTTAATCTAAATAATTCCTTATGGGTTGAAATCAAATTAACATTAGAACTAAAGTCAGTCATAATTGGACTTTGCACGGATCCGAATCTAAGCAATACACCATTTCCCAAGCTCTGTAATGAAAAGGATAACAAGATTAGGTACATCACAGGAGTGTTCCACACCCAAACATGCACACTTATCTTATTCTAGTAGAGATTAGAGGACAAGGTCTAATGTTGTGAACAAAATGATCAATTCAAAGTTATTTTGTTTATTGTTATGTACCTAATTTAATTTAGTAATTAATCTTGAATTACTAATAACTTTAAAGAAGGCAACAATTTACAATTTGGATGAAGTGATTACTCATCCAAAGTGTGTGTGTGTGTGTGTGTGTGTGTGTGTGTGTGTGTGTGTGTGTGTGTGTGTGTGTGTGTGTGTGTGTGTGTGTGTGTGTGTGTGTGTGTGTGTGTGTGTGTGTGTGTGTGTGTGTGTGTGTGTGTGTGTGTGTGTGTGTGTGTGTGTGTGTGTGCCCAAGGTTTAAAACATTTGGGACAGCACAGCAGTGAGAATGTTATGAGAACCAATCTGTTGTTTATATTAAACTCGAAGGAAGCTAGACTGGAACATTTTAAATAAATCAAAACACTTGCACATTAATTAAATACATTTGACATTTAGCTCGAGCTGGGTTCAATACTTTTCTTTATGGTATTTAAAATTGGGCTCGAGTAGAACCCCTGGATTTGGCTTGCAACACAAAGTGATACTGATCTCTGTAGGACTTGGGAGTGTTATGATTCAAAGTGCCTGTGAAAGAGAGGCCCTTGGAAAACAACACCTATTTTGTAACTGTAATTACCTATTTTAAAGAAATTGCAACATTATACTTTTAAAGAATTGCTCAATTAATTTAACACATTTATTATGCACACAATAAAAACTTCAACAAATATATTGATCCTGGCTTAACCAGTGACCTTTACTCTGTTGTTCATAAGCTCGGTTTCAGAAAACTTGTCAGTAGTTTAACAACTATTTTAATTTTAGTAATGTCTATGGAGACCAATTGGTTGATACTAGAAATAATTTGGAGCAGTTTAATAAAGAATGTTAAACTATTTTTAAAACTGTAATTGAACTTCAACTTATATCAATTACCTGATTCCAGTGGCCAGTTGGAATGAGACAATTAACAAAGTTTCCATTTTGCAGCAACAGCGCAAAAGGTTTCAACAACAATTAGTATTATGTCTGAGTCTAGTTCTGCTTATCTGCTTTGTTTCGGAATGTGTTCAATACATTACGTTTTTATTCATTATTACTATACAATACATAGATTAAGAATAAATGAAACAAATAATACAACATTGACCTAAAACCAGATTTTGCAACCCTGATCTCCTCAGGCAGGTCTCTGAGGGTCTCGGGGCGCAGGACGGGGCATAGGGTTTATACAAGGTCACAAAGATATCTTAACATACCAGCAATACCATTTAAGAATGGATTCTTAAAGCAATATAATCTTATTTTCTTCTTACACCTATAGCGCTCACCCTGAACAGTGGGCTTCTTGTTTACATTTTCCCCTGCACACTCAGAGGCAGGACATAAAAACACTCTTTATTTTTCTCAGGTCATTTACTTTTGGTGAGATAATTAATGTTTAGTTCATTTTACCCTGTCTATGGACTGATTCATTATTGTTACAAAACATACACAAGACGGCGGGACAAACCAATATAGACCCCCCATACAAACAATCAGACAAACAAAACATGAACTCTTAATAAACACCAGCGCGACAGCAAAGCTCATCAGCTCAATTTAGTCCGGATTTTAGAGATCTTAGAGGGGGTGGGGAATTAGTGGGGCGTCTTCTCACGCCTCACCCTTGTATACAAGTTATTGATCGGTGCCTGAAAGCCGTCCAAGAGCGATAACTAGCTTATCCTCTTGCGACTACCACTAG